CAGAGGCTGGATGGCCATCTGTTTGGGGGTGCTTTGAACGAATTTTCCTGCTTTTTGGCAAGGGGTTGAAGAGACCATGAGATCTCTTCCAACTCTATGATGCTATACATCTGAAGGTCCTTCCACACAGCCCCATACCCCATAATATCAAGGCAGAAAATACCATCTGAGTGTGGACTCAGATAATCCAGTTCAAAGCATATATTGTGGGATTTTCTGCCTTAATATTATGGGATATAGGGCTGTGTGGAAGGGTCCCTAGAAGATCAAGGCAGGAATCCCACAATATATGCTTTGAACTAGGTTATCTGAGTCCACATTGCCATCTATTCCAGTTTTTCAAAGCAGATACTGTGGGATTTTCTGCCTTGATATTCTGGGATATAGGGCTGTGTGGAAGGGCCCCTAGAAGATGAAGGCAGGAAATCCCACAATATATGTTTTGAACTGGGTTGTCTGAGTCCACTTTACCATCTATTCCAGTTTTTCAGAGCAGATACTGTGGGATTAGAAAATATTCTGCCTTGATATTCTGGTATATAGGGCGGTGTGGAAGGGCCCTGGGAATAACTGAAGCAGATCTGTGTAGGGGCCCTTCCACACAGTCCTATATCCCAGAATGTCAAGGCAGAAAACCCTGCAATATCCGCTTTGAACCGGGTTATGTGAGTCCACACTGCCGTATATTCCAGTTCAAAGCAGATAATGTGGGATTTTCTGCCTTGATATTCTGGGAAGGGCCCTGAGGCTTTGCATAACTCCCTGGTGAAGAGGAGATGCTCTTTCTGAGCATTAAAATAAATTTACAGCCTTCCAAAGAGAGGCTACGCCATCCTGGTAAATCCAGCTTCTTAAATACACCGACAAAATGAGGATGAATAGAGGGAAGCCGGAGAGTAAGATGAAGGGCCTGATCCTCTCCCTCCTGATTTCTCAAGACGCCTCCATTCCCTTTCCCCACTCGATGCAACTTCCAACTCAAATACTGGACTTCCATAAGAATCCAACTCTACAAGGAGTGGATCCCAGATGAAGCCCAACTCAAGGAAAAGTTCTCCTCTTCCAGCCTCATTTTAAAAAGGGATTTCTTCTGGCCAAGCGGGCAAAAGATTATCTAATCTATTCGCCATTGCTAAGGCAAGGACTTCATAGCAGTGTGTTCGTATTTAAAGGGCAACATAATAAACCCCCAAGGATTACAGCTGTGATTTGACAACACAACTCTCTCTCAATAATCGGCGTTAATAATCATACCAATCCGACTTCTGGGGCTCTTCCAAACAGGTCCTACATCCCAGGATCTTCTCCCAGGTTTTGGTTTATCCCGGATTATATGGCAGTGTGAACTCATATAATCCGGTTTAAAACAGAAAACCTAGGATCCGATCCTGGGATATAGGACCTGTCTAGAAGGGCTCTGAAAGTAACAGATTTATGTTTTTTTTCCCTTCCTGTTTCAACACTAATTAACTCCGCAGCAGAATCTCCATTGTATCCTATAAGAAATATTGAAGTGGTGTCCATTAATTCCGCACTGTAGATGCCTCAAGAGATGATAACCCTGATATCCCCAATTATTGACGAATTTGGCATACTTCAACGCTATGAAAACAGGGGATCTGTAGCCTGGTAAGGCAGAGAAGGCTAAAGACCTTGGAAAACTGATCATTCCATAGCTGGTTGTGTAATTTTCAAATTTGGTTTTAATTGTGCTTCAACTTTAATGCCTCGTGACATAAAATGTGATTTTTTACTTTACATGCATTTGGCTCTGTTTTGAATCTGTGTTGCATCATGTTTGCAGTTGGCCGCCTTGAGTCCCTACTTCGGGTGAAAAAAACCGGGATAAATACAGCAAATAATTAACAACACAGGGCCCTTCCACACAGCCCTATATCCCAGAATATCAAGGCGAAAATCCCACATTATCTGAGTGTGGAGTCAGATAACCCAGTTCAAAGCAGATATTGTGGAATTTTCTGCCTTGATATCCTGGGATATAGGGCTGTTTGTGGAAGGGAAAACTTGAGCCCTCCCTCCAGGTGTTTTGGACTTTAACTCCCACAATTCGGAATTGTGGGAGTTGAAGTCTAAAACACCTGGAGGGCTGAAGTTTGCCCACTTGGAGAGCTGAAGTTTGCCCATGAGTAGACCCATATAATGTAGGTTGAACTCAATAATAATAATAATAATAATAATAATAATAATAATAATAATAATAATTTATTTATATTCCGCTCTATCTCCCCAAAGGGACTCAGGATGTATTCCAAACATAAAAGGCAAACATTCAATGCCCGAATTCCACAACAATACATCCATATTAACAAAATGTAAACAACCCAACATATAAACAGTTATGACTTAACAACTAAAATTAAATAAAAACCACAGCCTGTTATAACAGACATAAGACAACACATCAAACAACAATTTCTCAGTTCCTTGGGGCAAATAGATTAATCATTATATCAGTCCAAGAGCATTATATGACAGAGTAGTCTTAAAGTTTGGATACCTTTAGGACTACACTGCCATATAATGCTCTTTATATGCTCTAGATTATTAAATATGGTTTTCTGTGAGTGAGCAAATGGCGATTACTGGATGGCATATGTTCTATATCAGAAACCAGAGTTGATGTAGTCTATCCAATGCAATTTTCTGAATCAGCACCCCAAATAACCACATGCTGGAGTTTTTGGTCTGGTCAAAGTGGTCCCTGGTCAAAAAAAGCTTGGGAACCACGGTTCAAGGAAAAGAAAAACAGGAGGGAAAGAAGAAAGGTGGCCAACACACATTTTGGTGCCTCACATGCAGGCCCTGTTTCAGGGGCCTCATCACACTAGAGAAAAAATCCACTTAAAATCCGGTTTCTGCCTCCTGCAGAATTCTGAGATTTGTAGTTTAGGAGCTTTTAACAGCCTCACTAAACTACAGGCCCCAGAATTCTGCAGGAGGCAGAACCGGATTTTAAATGGATTTTTTTTCTCTAGTGTGATGAAGGGCCCATATCCCATATCCCACACAGCCCCATATCCCAGAATATCAAAGCAGAAAATCTCACAATATCTGCTTTAAACTAGGTCATCTGAGTCTACACTCAGATAATGTGGGGTGTTCTGCCTTGATATTCTGGGATAAAGGGTTGTGTGGAAGGGCCCTAAGTGGCGGGAATATCTGATCTGCTGCTTCCAAAATATGTCGCCAGTTCCCCCCATCAGCTCTAGTTTTTGAGGTACAGAACTACAGCTTTTTTTCCCGTGTCAGAAGCGACTTGAGAAGGCCTACCTCATTATTTGTCCTTTTTGAGCCCCCCCCCCCCAATTAGTAACACATTCTCCCTCAGATACATATTCTTTTTATCTCACTCAAGGTTTTATCAATTTTATGCTTCGCACATTTGGCCGCCCCGTGTTTTATCTATCATGTTATTTTATTGTGTCATTTCATGTGTTTATTTTGATGGCATTTTGTTTCTTTGAATTTTGTTTCGTTGTATTGTTATTTTTGGGCTTGGCCTTATGTTAGCCGCCCCGAGTCCCCTTTGGGGAGATGGTGGCGAGGTATAAATAAAGATGATTATTATTATTATTATTATTATTATTATTATTATTATTATTATTGAGAAACTGCAAGTCGCTTCTGGTGTGAGAAAATTAGCCGTCTGCAGTGACGTTGCCCATAGGACTCCCGGATGTTTTGATGTTTTACCATCCTTGTGGGAGGCTTCTCTCATGTTCCCGCATGGGAAGCTGGAGCTGACAGAGGGAGTTCAACCCGCTCTCCCCGGATTCGGACCGCTGACCTATGGTCAGCAATCCGGCCGGCACAAGGGTTTAACCCATTGCTCCACTGGGGGCTGCCTAAATAATAATAATAATAATAATAATAATAATAATAATAATTATTATTATTATTATTATTATTATTATTATTATTATTATTATTATTATTAGATCAGGATTCTCCCATTTTTCAGCTATAGAGCCCTTTTAGAAGCAAAGGTTTCTCATGGAGCCCCAAGAAATGTTTATATACTGTATTATACTAGCTGTACCCGTCACGTGTTGCTGTGGCCAACTTTCCTTCCTTCTTTCTCTCCTTCTTTCCCTCCTTCCTTCGCTCCCTCTTTCCTTCCCTCCCTTTTTTTCTTTCTCTTCTTCCTTTCTTCCTTCCTTCTCTACGTCTTCCCCCCTTCCCCCCTTTTCTTCTTCTCCTTCTCTCCTTTCTTCCTTCTCTACCTCTTTCCTTCCTTCATTCTTTGCTTCCATGCTTCTTCTTTCTTTCTTTCCTTCCCTCTTTCTATTTCTTTCTTCCTTCCTTTCTCCCCTTCTTTCCCTCCCTCTTCCTTCCATAAATTTCTGTATCATCATTTAGCTTTTTGAGGTTTTTAAGTCCTTTCCGCTGTTTTGGGGGGTGGTTTTATGAGTGATGATCACTCGTTGGTCCGTTTAGGGGTATAGTGTCTAAATTCCGTGTCAATTCGTCCAGTAGTTTTTGAGTTATGTCAATCCCATAAATGAATGTTACATTTTTATTTATATAGATTATTATTCTTGTTACATTTATTGCTTTACTCTCTTTATTATGATTGGAAGGACATCTAAGCACATTTACATTGAAGAAGGTTAGGATAATGGTTTACTCCAGTGGTTCTCAACCTGGGGTCTCCAGATGTTTTTGGCCTTCAACTCCCAGAAATCCTGGTAAACTGGCTGGGATTTCTGGGAGTTGTAGGCCAAAAACATCTGGGGACCCTAGGTTGAGAAGCAGTGGTTAATCAGAGTTGGACAGTCTCATCTCTTACGGCCCCGCATGGGGAGCTGGAGCTAGCAGAAGGAGCTCCCCCTGGACAGCTGACAGGGGGGAAATCAGAGCGAACATTGGAGGCACCCCAACGAGCGTTGACCAGTGGGATAAACAGCACGGCGTGGTAAACAACACCTCCGGAGGGCGCCCCATTGCCGTCCCCTGCTGGGCCTGAGCCCCCTGCTTACCTGCGGCGGTGGCGGGGCCCCTGACGGAGAGTGGGGCAGCTCTGGTAGGGAAGTGGATCAAGTGGGAGCTGTCGAAGGGGCTCCCCCATCCGGGTCCTGCAGCAGCGGCGGCGGCGGCGGCGAATTGGGCGCCCATGTAGGGCCCGTAGTAGGCTCCGTTGAGAGGTCGGAGCTGCTCTCGGGCGGCTCCGTAGGGGTCCCGAGGGGCTCCGTTGGCGGCGGGAGGGCTGCTGGTGGCGTAGGAGGCGAAGCGCCCGGAGGAGCCTCCTCCTCCGCCTCCCCCTGCTCCTCCCCCTCCCCCGCAGGATCCGTAGGAAGGCGAAGGGCTGTCGGCTTGCGCGGGCCATCCCGAGGGCGCTTGCGGGCTCTGCATGTAGGGCAGCATGGGTCCCACGCGGGTAGTGGGCACGTAGACCGGCGACGGGGGCCCGAATCCGCCTCCCACGGACGGAGAAGCCCCTGTTCCTCCTCCTCCTCCTCCTCCGGGGGGAGAGGAGTCGTAGGCGCCGCTTTGGAGGTGCGAAGGGTGGTGGTGGTGGTGGTGATGGTGGTGATACATATCCTCCAGGGGGTCGGGCGCGGGCTTGGCGCGGCTGGACCAGAGCAGCTTGTTGGCCTGGTCGAGGTCGGCGAGGAGGATGACGTCTTCCCAGCTGGAGGAGGAGGAGGAGGGAGGGGGAGGAGGAAGGGGCACGAAGGGGCCCAGCAAGGCCCTCCCCGCCTCCGGCAGGCCCTCCCCGGGCTCCTGCTTGAAAGTCCTGGCGCTGGAGGGGCCGCCCCCGCCCGGGGAGCAGCCCGAGGACGAGGAGGGCGACGGAGGAGAGGGCGACGGCAGCGAGGGAAAGGGCGCCTCGTCGGGGCTGCGGCGCTTCAGGAGGCACCAGCCGCCTTCAGCCAGGGCCATCCAGAAGCCCAGGCCTCGCCTCCTTCCCGGCGGGACCCTGGCACAGAGAAAGAAGGGGACACGGAGAGAAGAATGAGGCACACACACACACACACGGAGAAAGACTGAAGACCGGCCCGGGGCAGCGGGGTCTTTGTTCTCCCGCCCCCTCCCCTCCCCCCTACGTAGCCCCTCCTTGAACGCAGGACAGAGCGCCTCTGGGCACGTGCAGAGTGTCTCCCCTTCCCACCTGAGAGGCTGAGCCAAGGAAAAAGCATATAGCAAAATAAAGGTTTCCCCCTGATATCAAGTCCAGTCATGTCCGACTCTCCGGGTTGGTGCTCATCTCCATTTCTAAGCCGAGAAGAGCCGGCGTTATCCGTAGACACCTCCAAGGTCATGTGGCCGGCACGACTGCACGGAGCGCCATTACCTTCCCGCCTGAGCGGTACCTGTTGATCTACTCACGTGTATGTTTTCAAACTACTAGGTTGGCAGAAGCTGGGGCTAACATTGGAGCTCACCCTGCTCCCCAGATTCGAATCATCAACTTTTTAGTCAGCAAGTTTAGCAGCTCAGCAGTTTAACCTGCTGCAACACTGCGGAGGGCAACTTTGGGGAGTGGTGTTTATCATTTCTATACCTATTGAGTTGTTGTGGTTTTTTTCGGGCTATATGGCCATGTTCTAGAGGCATTCTCTCCTGACGTTTCCAGACCTCACTACCTCTGAGCATCCTCAGAGCATGCCATAGATGGGCCGTGCAGATTACATATATTAATTTTGTGTATGTGTGTGTCAGGAGAGCAGTGCAGATTAGATATATTTATTATTATTATTATTATTATTATTATTATTATTATTATTATTATTATTATTCGTGTCAGGAGCCACTTGAGAAACTGCAAGTCGCTTCTAGTGTGAGAGAATTGGCCGTCTGCAAGGACGTTACCCGCTTCCCTAGGGGATGCCCGGATGTTTTGATGTTGTACCATCTTTGTTGGAGGCTTCTTTAATGTCTCCGCATGGGGAGTTGGAGCTGACAAAGGGAGCTCATCCTCGCTCTTCCCGGATTCGAACCCCGACCTGTCGGTCGTCAGTCCTTCCAGCACAAGGGTTTGAACCATTCATGATATAGACTGAATATTTGGAAAGATATATTTGTGCTAAATTCGATTATAGAGATAGGTTAGATAGATTGGTGATTAATTAGATAGGTAGACACCGAGAAAGAGACAAGTAGGAGGGTGGGTCAAAAAGTAATGCCTCCATCGCTATAACTTTTCTTTCTTTCACAGATCGATCACCGGTCCTCCTTCCATTCAAGCCTGTTTGTATGAGTGTGTGCCGGCGTAAATAACAAATAGATCGATCGATCTGTGATCAATAGATTAGTCAGATTGTAGATGAGATAGAAATAGAGACAGATTAGATATATGTTGGTAGAGAGAGAGTTGAGAGGGTAGAACATATAGAGATAGAGAAGTGCAGATTAGACATATTAATGATAGATGGATATAGGCTGATCGTTCAAATAGATATATAGATTATAGAGACATGTTAGATATATTGGGGATAGATTAGATAAGTAGACAAGTAGAGAAAGAGAGGGACGGGTACGCGTGTGGGTCAAAAAGTAATGCCTCCGTCGCTCTAACTTTTCTTTCTTTCATAGATCGATCACCGGTCCTCCTTCCATTCAACCGCCTGTTTATATGTGTGTGAATTGACGTAAATACCAGATAGATAGATCGATCTATGACCAACAGATTAGACAGACTGGAGATGAGATAGAAATAGAGACAGATGAGAGATCTCTTGGTGAGAGAGAGAGAGTGTTGAAGTGATAGAACACATAGAGATACCAACGCAGCCTTTTGCCTACCTTGTTCCGAGATACTCTACCTCACACCACTAGAGAATGAATCCACTTTAAATCCGGTTTCTGTCTCCTGTAGAATTCTGGGGTTTGTAGTTTAGGGAGGAGACTTTAACAGCCTCACTAAGCTACAAAGCCCAGAATTCTGCAGGAGGCAGAAATCGGATTTAAAGTGGATTCATTCTCTAGTATGATGAAATTTATAGTAATGATAGATATTGACTGATCATTCAGATAGATATATCAGATTATAGACAGGTTAGATATATTGGCGATAGATTAGATAGGTTAGATATATTGGTAATAGATTGGATAGTTTAGATATATTGGTGATAGATTAGATAGGTAGACCGGTAGAGAGAAAGAGAGCGACAGACAGGTAGGCGAGCGGATCAAAAAGTAATGCCTCCACCGCTCTAACTTTTCTTTCTTTCACAGCTCCTGGACTATCTCTGTATGAGATGATAGAGGGAACCTTCCTCTACTGATATACTCGTTTCTTTTTCCCCGATTGACTGATTAGAACCATAAATTTGAGGCTAAAAGAAAAGAGCCGCCATTGAATTTCTGGCCAAAGAAGGTTGTGCGCCACCTAAGGAAAATCCACCATAGCTTGAAGAATGCTTATGATTTGGCCCCTTCTGACTTTTACCTGTTTGGACTTCTGAAAGACAACCTAGATGGTTTCAGATTTAAGGACTTGAATAACGTTCAAACAGCTTTAAAGTCATGGATTATTTCAGTCGCCCAAAAACATCTAGGGCCCTTCCACACAGCTCTATATCCCAGAATATCAAGGCAGAAAATCCCACAATATCTGCTTTGAGCTGGTTTATTTGAGGGCCCTTTCACACATCCCAATATCACAGATTATCAAGGCAGAAAACCCCATAATATCTGCTTTGAACTGGATTATCTACATGTCCTTCCACATCGCCCTATATTCCAGAATATCAAGGCAAAAATCCCACAATATCTGCTTTGAACTGGATTATCTACAGGCACTTCCACACAGCCCCATATCCCAGAATATTAAGGAATAAAACCCCACAGTATCTGCTTTGAACTGGGTTATCTGAGAGTCCTTCCACACAGCCCTATATCCCAGAATATCAAGGCAGACAACCCCACAGTATCTGCTTTGAAATGGGTTACATGAGGGCCCTTTCACACAGCTCAATATCCCAGAATATCAAGGCAGAAAACCCCACAATATCTGCTTTGAACTGGAATATATGGCAGTGTGGGCTCAAATAACCCAGTTCAAAGCAGATATTATGGCTTGATATCCTGGGATATGTGTGGAAGGGCCCTTAGTTGAGTGGTTGTTTTGTGTAGTGGACAGTTCAGGCTAGGATCTATACCAACTTCTGCTGTGATATTTTTAATCACAATATTTTTAAGACACAGGAGGCAAAACTTTTTGACCCACTCTCGTAAAAAGAAAAGAGACTGCGTTGGAACTGTTTCTCTGCTCGCTTTTGGGACGAGAAAGAAAGGAAAACATCCAGGGAGCTACTTGTTGGGAGATTGGCTTTCCTTCCGGGCAGAAAAGAGACCCACCAAGTAGTCCCCGGTTCTTTAATGCGGTTCGAAACTTAACTCCAATGTGCAACAGCTAGGCAACCAACTCCCGCAAAAAAAGGAGGACACCTCTACTTGTTAGTTTTCCTTCTAGAGCGAAACGAGAGGCCCAAAAAACGCCTATTGAATGCAGTTTGAAGCTAGGTCCGATCCGCAACAAACTCGCGCAAAACCGCCCTTCTTTGGTGTCTCCGTGGCTTGTGAGACCCAGGCATCAAACTGGTTTCCTTTCTCTTTCCTTCGGCCACCAAAGCCCGGACGCTGCGTTTCCCTGCACGATCTGGAAAGCACCCAAACTTTAGGATTAGACTGCCGTTTGACTGACAGAATGCCGCTTAACTTCATTATACGGGTCTACACTGACTATATAATGCAATTGCAGACTCCATTATAAGGGGCCTAAGTCTTGGGAGTTTAATGTATCGTCGATGGCTTTCATGGCCGGAATCACTGGGTTGTTGTGTAAGTTTCTCAGGCTGTAGAGCCATGTTCCAGAAGCATTCTCTTCTGACGTTTCGCCTGCATCTATGGCAGGCATCCTCAGAGGTTGTGAGGTTTTGGACGTTTATTTATTTTTAATGCTGAGGTTTGAGGGTTGGACTTTGAGTAAAGGTAAAGAATTCCCCTTGACACTAAGTCCAGTTGAGTCCGACTCTGGGGAGTGGTGATCATCTTGATTTCTAAGCCCGGGAAGCGGTACCTATTGATCTACTCACATTTGTATGTTTTCGAACTGTACGGTGGCAGAAGCTGGGCCTAACAGCGAAAGCTCACGCCGAATTCCAACCACAGACCTTTCAGTCAGCAGCAGCTCAGCTATTTAACCCGCTGCGCCACCGAGACTTGGGGCACTTGGGTTCAAATCCCCGCTTTCCCCAGGCCGAGCTCGGGCTGCTACTCTCTCTCAGCCTCAGAGGAAGGCAAAGGCAAGTCGGCGCAAGTACTCGGGCGGGAGCTGTTGTTTGAGGTCCTGGTTCTCGGGGAAAGGAAGCGAAGTGGAAGGAGAGATGGAAGGTTTGCCGAAGAGATACCTTTTCCTCCCCCAAATAGAGCAGGGACTCCCCTTTCCCCTTCCAGGAGGGACCCAGAAGTGGCCTCGAAGGGCAGAGGCCTTGCCTGACACCCTGACACCTTCCTTTGCCGTCTTCCGACCTTTGGCTGCCCGAGACGCATGTTGTGTCCGAAAAGACCTTCGCGTCTTGGCCTCCGAGGCCCCATCTACACTGGTCATTTAGCACAGCTTCTCACCGGAATCAAAGAAGGTTACTTTGCAGTGCAGATCGTGACACAGGACGTCCGGGAACTAGTTTGAGGCCCGGGGCGCACAAACTACAGAGACGACAAACTTTTGCGGGAGTTTGTTGCGGACCGGAGGAACTGATTATTCCAAGTAACTCGCCCAGCCTTCTGTGTGCCCAGTCTCTCATTTGGTATCAGCCATGGATTGAGGTGCTGGGTTTCAGCCTGCCACTTTTGGACTCTTGCTTGCTGAGTATCTTAGAAAAATATTCCTTGATTTAAGGCATTGGCCTGCTGATTGATAAGAATCATTTGCCGTTTCGTTGGCCTCTCTTTCCTCCCCAGAAGGAAAGCCAACAAGTCCTCATTTTTTTGCTGGAGTTGGTTGTCTGTTGCACATTGGAGTTAGTCTCGAACTGCATTAAAGAGCCTGGAGTTTAAGTCCAAAACCCTTGAAGGGCAGAAGTTTGCTCATGCCTATGTAGACCCGTATAATGAAGTTAAGCGGCATTATATCACAGATCTATAAACCCAATTTTCCAGTTTCCAACAAACCTCACAACCTCTGATGCAGGCGAAACGTCAGGAGAGAATGCTTCTAGAATATGGCTATAGGTAAAGTTAAAGGTTTTCCCCTGACATTAAATCCAGTCGTGTCCGACATTTCTAAGCCGAAGAGGAAGAGCCGGCGTTGTCCACAGACACTTCCAATGTCATGTGGCCGGCCTGACTGCATGGAGCGCCGTTATGGCCACACAACCCGAAAAACCTACAACAACCCAGGCATTGTATTGGTCAAACAGTCTAGTCCTAAATCAAGCAGGGAAACGCGGCGTCCTCCCTTGATGGTCGAAGGAAACAAGAAAGGAAAACAAGGGAAGGAAAGAAGGAAGAAAAGAGTCCTGGGATTTTCCGACCCGGGAGTTTTGGAAGGAGACCGGAACCGAGGCTGCTCCCTCTTAGGGGCGACTTCAAACCACGAATCACTGGATTCCGTCCGGGAACGACCACAATTGAAATAGGGAAGGGAGAAAAGAAAGCCTTAAGAAAGGAATGAGGGGTCTTCCTCATTGAAGGTGGATCCAGGCTTGAAGGGAGCCTGCAAGGAGTCCCCGAAGAGGCCGAGTTGGAGCGGAGAGGAAGGCGGCCAAAGAGGAGAGAGACAGACACAGAGAGGGAAATTATGGCTCCTTTCTTCTTGGTCTCCCACCTAAAGGCTCACCTCTTTCCGCGGGGCGTCGCCGTGGGCTCCTCGTGGGTCCGAGAAGAGAGTCCTTTGGCCCAGAGGTTGCGACGACGACGTTTCTGAAGGTCTCCGACTGGCAGAAGTGGAGGGAGAGAGAGAGAAAGAGAGAGAGAGAGAAAGAGAGGAGGCGCCTCTGGCCGGAAAAGTCCAGCCGAGGCGTCCTGATTGGATTCAGGGAGCGAGGGACAAACACGCACAAAGGGGGAGGGAAGGGAAAGGGAGAAGAAAGAGGACCTCCCCCATCCGAAACAGGCAGTGGCTGGAGCAGGGAGGGCGCAGTATCCACGGCATACAAAGATCCCCAAAGGCAGGGGGAGGGGGGCTCAGCTACCTCATCTACACTGCGTTGAAGAAAGCGTAGGCAGAGGAACTCACGGTCCTTCTTGACGCCCGGATGGCGATGGCACGGAACGGTCAGTGCAGACCCTACTTTCCCCAATCTACTGTTGGGTTTGACCGGCAGGACTGAAGACCGACAGGTCGGAGGTTCGAGCGGCGGATGAGCTCCCGCTGTCAGCTCCAGCTCCCCATTGGGAGACATGAGAGAAGGATGCTAAAACATCTGGGTGTCCCCTGGGCAACCTCCCTGCAGACGGCCAATTTCTTACACCAGAAGTGACTTTCAGTTTGTCAAGTTGCTCCTGACATGTCACCTTTGTCTTTTGGTGAAGGGACATAAGAGAAGCCTTCCACAAGGATGGTAAAACATCAAAACATCCTTGCAGACGGCCAGTTCTCTCACGCCAGAAGCGACTTGAATTTTGTCAACTTGCTCCTGACATGTGACCTTTGCCTTTTGGTGAAGGGACATGACAGAAGTCTCCCATAAGGATGGTAAAACATCAAAACATCCGGGAGTCCCTGGGCAACGTCCTTGCAGACGGCAAATTCTCTCACACCAGAAGCGACTTGCAGTTTGTCAAGTTGGTCCTGACATGTCTCTTTTGTCTTTTGGTGAAGCCTCCCACAAGGATGGTAAAACATCAAAACATCCAGGCGTGGGCAACGTCCTCGCAGACGGCAAATTCTCTCACACCAGAAGCGACTTGCAGTTTCTCAGATCACTCTTGACATGCCACCTTTGCCTTTTGCTGAAAGGACATGATAGAAGCCTCCCACAAGGATGGTAAAACATCAAACATCCGGGCGTCCCCTGGGTAACGTCCTTGCAGACAGTCAATTCCATATTTCCTTTGTCTGTTGGTGTATTTATGTGTCCCATCTCGGTGGTTGAAATCTCCTCTTCCCTTTTTCTCCCTCTACGGTTTTGTTGGTTTCATGGACAGATCGATCACCCGTCCTCCTTCCATTCAAGTGCCTGTTTGTATCAAGTGCCTGTCGATGTAAATAACAGATAGATCTGTGAGAAATACTAGACAGAGTGTAGATTACATAGAAATAGAGACAGATTAGATATATTGGCAAGAGAGAGAGTTGAGATAGACATATTGGTGGTAGAACACACAGAGATAGAGCAGTGCAGATTAGATATATTAATGACAGATATAGCGCATGCCTGGGCAAACTTGGGCCTTCCCTCCAGGTATTTTGGACGTCAACTCCCACAATTCCTAACAGCCTCAGGCCCTTTCCTTTTTTCCCCTCAGGAAAGGACCTGAGGCTGTTAGGAATTGTGGGAGTTGAAGTCCAAAACACCTGGAAGGAGGGCCCAAGTTTCCTAAGGCCTGATATAGAGACAGATTAGATAGTATTGTGGAAGGCTTTCAGGGCCGGAATCACTGGATTGCTGTGAGCTTTCCGGGCTGTATGGCCATGTTCCAGAAGCATTCTCTCCTGACGTTTCGCCTGCATTTATGGCAGGCATCCTCAGAGGTTGTGAGGTCTGTTGGAAACTAGGAAAATATTGGAAACTAGGAAAATGGTGTGTGTGTGTATAATATATATATATATATATACACACACACACACACAGAAAGAGAGAGAGAGAGAGAGAGAGAGCAATAAATGGAGTTTATATATGGGGCCAGCTAACACCTCCCAACAAAGGCAGGAAGCAGCCAGGCTTTGAAGCTTTGAAGCTGCAAGGCTAGTCAAGGTGGCCAACTGAAACATTCACATCTGCCTCAAAAAGACAAGAGTTCTTTCTCCCACCCTGGACTTTATACAGATATATAAACCCAATTTTCCTAGTTTCAAACAGACCTCATAACCTCTGAGGATGCCTGCCATAGATGCAGGCGAAACGTCAGGAGAGATTGCTTCTGGAACATGGCCAGACAGCCCGGAAAACTCACAAAATTAGATAGTGACTGGAAACTGAAACAACTCCTTTCTGCGGAGGAGATCAGAAGCCAGGCCAGTAGCCAGGATTTCGTTTGGGGGGGGGGGGGTTAAAAAATTTCCAGTTGGGGGGGGGGAGGGGGCCTGAGTCTGAGTGAAAGAGGGTCTACCCTAGCAAACTTTTTGTATCATTACCCCAATACCCCCATACATATGGGATATATTGAGCATGGTGATCAGATCATGATATGAATAAACATAACAGTTTAAATAATGCACCAGTAAGGCCTTTTCGCGAACCACCATGAGAATTTCGGGGGGGGGGCTGAAGCCCCCCGAGGCCCCCCCCCCCCGGCTACATGCCTGTCAGAAGCCCAGGCAACATTTTTTTTCTCTCTGTGTCCCTGTCTGTATTGAGCGAGTTTGCTTTCTCCTGCACTGGAGACACAAGGGAGCAATGGATTCCAATGGAAGGAAAAGAGAGTCCGTCTAAAAACATTCGGGAGAACTTCCTGAGGGTAAGAAATGCTCGGAAGTGGAATCTGCTGCTGCCCCGGAGTTCGGTGGAGTCTTCTTCTCTTGGGGGGGAGGGGGGGGGGGTTCACACAGCAGAAGCTGGACGGCCATCTGTCGGGAATGTTTGGACTGGGTTTTCCTGTATGACAGAAGAGGGTTGGGCTGGATGACGCTTAAGGTGTCTTCCAACTCTATAGTGTGGTTTAGTGGTTTGATTTGTTCTCCGGAAGATGTTAATTCGGATTGGTCTCATGGAGGCCAATTTGATAACCTTTTGGGCAAGTGAGCCTTTGAGGAAGGCATCGGCCTGGGGCGGGGGAGTCTTATGTATCGCTATACTTAATACAATTTGGCTCTACTTTAACTGCCATGACTCTGCCACAGTCCCGGGAGCAAAGTTTTGCAAAGTCTTTAGTTCTCTCTGCCCAGTGTCCAATAGTACTGGTGCCTCCCCAACTAAAAATCCAAGCATTCCATAACATTCAGCGATATATAGCACTTAAAAAGTGGCGCCAGACTGCATTAATTAACCTCAGTATAAAGTAAATTCAGCTCAGCACAAAGGCGACAATAGACGCCCACAGAGGATTTCACTGTGATATTAATTACTGTTAATTTTACTATAATAGTAACAATTATTAATCAGTATTAATAATGAATAATAAATATTAATTGTTAATTGTTAATATTATAGTAAACTTAATCATATTAATTAGAATATTATTATTAGTTATAATTAAGAATTAATATTTAATCACAATTAATGATTAATCAGTTAATAATAATTATTAATTGTTAATATTATAGTACAATTAATTATATTATTTATAATGTTTATTATTATTAGTTATGATTAAGAATTAATATTTAATCACAATTAATAATTAATCATAGTTAATTATTATTAATTGTTAATATTATGGTACAATTAATTATATTAATTAAAATATTTATTATTATTAGATATGATTAAGACTTAATATTTAATCATAATAATAATTAATCATAGTTAATAATAATTATTGTTAATATTATAGTACAATAATTATATTAATTATTATTAGTTATAATTAAGAATTAATATTTAATCATAATTAATAATTAATTATAGTTAATTATTTATTGTTAATATTATAGTACAATTAATTATATTAATAAAATATTTATTATTATTAGTTATGATTAAGAATTAATATTTAATCATAGTTAATTATTAATTGTTAATATTATAGTACAATTAATTATATTAATTAAAATATGTATTGTTATTATTGTTATTTAATTCATTTTGCGTGTTATGTATCCCTCTATCCCATATTATGTTTGCGTTGCCCGGTGCCCATCATTTTCGATTTCCCTTCATATATATAATATGCGTGTGAGAGAGCAATTGTGCAAATGACAATCCAACTTCAGGTCTCCTCGGAAACCTATCCCGTTGTGTACACAATGACACTTACTCCCGGGTAACTATATATCCCACCGTGACACTTGAACGTAAACAAAACTTATCGATTGTAGATGAGTAAGGTTTGGTCCTTAAAGGAAAATATTCCTTGTTGCTGAACACATTATATGAAAATGAATCTCAATTAAAATGGATCTAAAACAAATCCAAGTGTTCTGAATTAATTGAAAAGAGTCCAGCGAGCAGAATTTATATAGGTTGTTGTGTGTTATCCGGGCTGTATGGCCATGTTCCAGAAGCATTCACTCCTGACGTTTCGCCTGCATCTATGGCAGGCATCCTCAGAGGAGAATTTATATAGCAAATAGAGCACCACCAAATTAACCTGGGAGATTATACTACCGAACACGATTTGTGTTCTTGGGTTATCAATGCCATTTCCTAATTGGTTCTGCCATAAAACATGGAAAAGGTTGGGTTGTTGTGAGTTTTCCGGGCTGTATGAGACCTCACAACCTCTGAGGGTGCCTGCTATAAATGTGGGCGAAACGTCAGGAGAGAATGCTTCTGGAACATGGCCACACAAGCCCGGAAAATTCACAACAACTCAGTGATTCCGGCCATGAAATCCTTGGACAACACATGGAAAAGGTTTATTAAATTGCAAATACTTTGTTTTCGCGGGACATCCTGAAGCATATTTTGTTATAGTTTTTCCAGGAATCTCTCCTTGAGTCTCAACCAATTCAACACCGTTTGTGGCAGCCACAAAAAACGAAGTTTCTGGAGTAGAACAACTACTTTAAAAGTAAATACTTCACAATTAAACAGGAAGTAACACTCTCAAACCAGGAACAGATTCCCCGCCCCAAATGTTACATAGTATGATTGGAAGGTAACGAAAATGCTATAATAAACACTATAATGCCAATTCCATATTAAATTAAAATTTTAGGTAAAAGGGGAGGTTCATTTTTAGTATAATTTTAGAGAAAGGGAGCCATAGTGGAAGCAAAGAAAAAACAAACTTCATTTCAGTTTCCTGACGCTTCTCTGCTATACTGGAATCTACAATCCTGTTCAAGGCTGAATACATTGTTTAGGGAAATTTGCTACTCAAAGAATGAATCCACTTTAAATCCGGTTTCTGCCTCCTGCAGAATTTTGAGGTTTGTAGTTTAGTGAGGCTGTTAAAGGCTCCTCCCTGAACTACAAACCCCAGAACTCTGCAGGAGCCAGACACCGATTTTAAATGGATTTTTCTCTCTAGTGTGATGAGGCTCTAATAAAAACCGAAAGTTATAGGATGTCATGATCTCTTTATTTCGTTTTTTCAATTTTTTAAGTGAAGCATTTGGTGTCTGAACAGTTGGAGGCTTCTTTGAGACATGGGAGTTGTAGTTTTATTTATTTATGTATTTCCGATATTTATCTTTATATATATATATAATATTATAATAATCTTTATTTATACCCCCGCCACCATCTCCCCAATGGGGACTCGGGTTACAAATAGGCAAAAATTCAATGCCTTAACCACAGTATACAATTAAAATACATTTAAATCTTCTATAGAAATAAAACTGTAATGTCCGTTTGTGGAATTAACATAACTCAAAAACCACTGGACAAATTGATACGAAATTTGGACACAATACACCTATCAGGCCAATGAGTGACCATCACTCAAAAAAATGATTTTGTCATTTGGAAGTTGTAGTTGCTGGGATTTATAGTTCACCTACAATCAAAGCGCATTTTGAACTCCATCAGTGATGGAATTGAACCAAACTTGGCACACAGGAC